GTCCCTGGCAACCACTAATCTCTATCTATTTATGTATCCTGACTCTCATGTTCACACCTTCCTCACACACTGCTTTCTGTGAGGCTCTCGGCAGTCAGGACAATGCGGAAGAAGAGAGGGAGAACGCGATGTTCCCTCCTCGCCGTGGCTCCAGCCTTGATCAGGTGGAAACTTCTTCAGGCCTCCCCCAACATTTCACGCCGGGTGCTGGAAACAGCCAGAAGATGCGTTGCGTTTGCATTTTCCTCCAACACGTAGATAATAATTCTGACTCTAGCTATTCATTTGACATTTGAGAAACACCTACAATACATGTAACTCAGTAGGTCATAAATCCCAGGCATCTAAAAGTTATAGAACTGTTCATCTCTGGAAGCTCACAGTCTGGGAGAAGACATATACACTAAATATTATAATGATGAAGGAGGCGATGGAGGGCAAGCTCCGTGGGGACTGAGGAGGGAGTGCCCAGGTGGCTGGGCAGTGCATTTGGCCGCGATTAAGAGGAAGCGATGCTGCCCAAATCTGAAAGCCAAGGGAGCTTATGGCATGGAGAGTGGGGGTAGGTGTTTTAGGAAGCCACGGGCTCAGGAACTGCTTGTGAGTAAGGCGGTGTGTGTGGGATAGGTGGGTGCACAGGCGTGGGCAGGTGCATGGGGTACACGTAGTTGCAAATTGCTAGGAAGAGCAGCATAAGAAAGCCGGGCCCTGGGGCCAGGAGCTGGACTGAGCCAGGTGGTGAAGACCTCCGTGCCACTCACAGGAGTGTGGGTTATCCTGCAAGAGAAAGTAATGTTCCCAGGCTCCTGGCAGCCTCTGGGGTTGGCCAAGGGAAGTTCTGCTCACAGTCTCCCAACGGGGCTTGCTGGATGGCATCGTGATTTCCTGGTGCTCTGGGCCTAACCTGAAAGTCTTGCCCATCCCAGGGACAAACATATCCTAAATAAACTCACAAGACACACACATGAAATCAGAACGCTGCTTTGTTGTCTGCTTTGTTTGTTTCTTGATCCAGAGTTTCACTCCTTTGGAGGCTGGAGTGCACTGGTGTGGCCATGGCTCCCTGCAGCCTCAACCTCCCAGGCTCAAGTGATCCTTCACAGACTCGCAAGCAGCTGTGACTTCAGGTGTGCCAGCACACCCAGCTAATTTAATTTTTAATTTTTAGCAGACATGGGGGTCTCACTATGTTGCTCCTGAGCTCAAGAGATCCTTCTGCCTTGGCCTCACCAAGTACTGGGATGACAGATGTGAGGCACCACGTCCAGCCTGCTGTATTAATTTACAAGGCAAGACAACAGTGGAAGGCCTCAGAATACCAGCAGAGAGTGTGGAGCAAGTGTTCTGCTTGGTGAACAGGAATCCCAAGAGCAAACGAGGCAAATGCTGTCCGCAGTGGCTTTAGAGGCATCCAGTGTGGGTGGTCTCACTCTGGGGATGAGGACCCAGGGAGCCCACTGCCTGGAACCCCAGCACCCAGCTTCCCTTTGGGTTGCCCTTCCTGAGAAGTGTGGAGCTCTCAAAGCGTCCTCTCTCCTAGACTGTGCTGGATTGGCAGAGTCCACATTTATCTTTTAACTTTTCCTTTTACAAAGTCAGTCAAGCTTGGAGATTCCCAAATTCGTCCTTTACACACATCAGAATATGCTACAAAGGGACAGTTAAACGTGGTTAGTGTGGGAAGCATTCTCCCTCCCTCGGGTGACACAAGTCAGCATGCCTGATGTCAAGGCCATCACCTGGCTGTGGCAGCCCAGGTGGTCAAGGACAGGAGAGGCCCCAGCTGCCCATCACCCTGAAGGACAGCCTCCCTGGCATGGACAGATGCAAGCTGTGACCCTGGGCATGCCCGCAGCTGAATCCTCATCTTCAGGTGGTTAGAGCTCCCAGTGAAGAACCTCAGTGGGGTCAAGTGGCTGAAAGCAAGCAGCTTGTGCACTGGAGTGGTTGCCGCCCCGAGCAGGTCCCTGTCTTCTTGCAGGATGTACCCCCAAGCCATGCAGATCCCCTACCCCTCTGTTAGAAAAGAGCCTGCTTGTGACCTGGTCACCAGGCCCAGACTGCTCATACCAGAAGCTGGGGCTCAGCTCCCCAAGATCCCATCAGAGGCCGGGAATCTAGTTCGGTGACGAAGTTACCTCATTTGAGGGTTTAGGTTTAAAAGTTATAAAGTTCCAGACTCCCTCTGAGCACATCCTGCTCCCTCCACTGCAGTCCACGTTTCTATGGCTCTGACACATATATGGGGCCGCTTTTGGTTCTGCTTTTCAAGGGACAAAGTCACCTTCTTTTATGGGAAATATTCTAATATGTTGGCTAGCATCTTCTTAACTTTATTTTCTATGATTAGATGATCATAAGCAGAACTTTGTCCACTAAAACATTACTGTAATAATACTACTCAGGAAATTAGAATGCTTTTATAAAAAAATTATTATCCCTGAGATTTGTTTTCTTTCTGTGCTCCTTGGAATATATTCATTTCTTTTCTCTGCGTTCACTGTAACATTGCCTAGTGCCTTCCCCCTGCTCGAGTATGCATCCTCATGAGCTATAATGTCACAACTCATTGATCAGGCAGCAGGCCAGGCTGCATGAGATCAGAGCCTGAGCTGAGGCCAGTGTTCCTGGGTCTGAATCACCAGGTGTGTTCATCATCGTGGCACAAAAGAAGGATAGGAACAGACTGCAATCTTTTGCTAAATGTAAAAAAATGTAAGGAGTTGATGTTGGGAAGTCAACGACTTGAGCCTTCTCCAGCATGTCCCAACGCCAAGAAGTGCAAATGCAGATTAAAAATTAACATATGACCATTGTAAAACGGTTACTTAACAGAGACAGCTTTAAAGTAAAAAGTAAAAATCACTCAGATCTTACTGTCCATTAATGATCATTACTATCATTTTGGTAAGAATCCTTTCACAGTTTTTTTTTGGCCATGAAGACATACAAATGCACTTTCAAAGAAAATTCAATTTGTTTATACCAGGTATGCTACTCTATAACCTGGGTTTTACATAGCGTATTATAGTTTGAACATATTTCTAATTCAGTAAATATAGATTTATGGCATGTTATTGACCGTCATTCCATTGTGTGAATGTCATAGGTGTATTCTAACTGAACTATATCATTTAAATGTTAATTATGTAGTTTAACATTCAGTTTGTTGCCAGCTTATTTTTGCAAATATAAACAATTTTGTAATAGCTATTCTTAGATATTCATACTTGTCTAGTCTTTTTTTTTTGAGACTAAGTCTAGCTCTGTTGCTGAGGCTGGAGTGCAGGGGCTAGATCTCGGCTCACTGCATGCCCTGCCTCCCAGGTTCAAGCGGTTCTCCTGCCTCACCTTCCCAAGTAGCTGGGATTACAGGTACCCATTATCATGCCCGGCTAATTTTTTTGTATTTTTAGTATAGATGGGGTTTCTCCATGTTGGTCAGGCTGGTCTTGAACTCCTGACCTCCTGAGTAGCTGGGACTACAGGCACCCTCTGCCACGCTCGGCTAATTTTTGTATATTTAGTAGAGATGAGGTTTCACCATGTTGGCCAGGCTGGTCTTGAACTCCTGACCTCAGATGATCTGCCTGCCTCAGCCTCTCAAAGTGCTGAGATTACAGGTGTGAGCCACTGTGCCTGGCCATGCATTCATTTTGAGTGTACTAATATATACCCTGGTGTACCCTCCACTGAAATAAAGACTTAGAACATATTCAGCACCGCAGGAGACACCCCTGATGCCCCTTCCCTTCCATCAAGCCCCAGCCCACCCTGGCCCTAGGGCACCCCTCATCGTTTACTGTGAATCAGATTTGTGTTTTCTTTAGTTTATGCAAATCAAATCACACAGCATGTAATCCTTAGCATCTGGCCTCTTTTGCTTAGCATGATGTTTTCAAATTCATTGTATTAATGCGTGTATCTATAGATTTTCCCTTTTCCTTGCTGAGTAGTGTGACTAGAGTTTCAAAAATCTATTCAAATGTCGACAGACAGGAGGGTTGTTTCTAGTTTTGGGCTGTTATGAGTGAAACTGTTATGAACATTTGGCTACAAGTATTTGTGTGGACATTTTTTCTCGTTTTAGGTAAATACTGAAGAGCAGAATTGCTAGGCCAATTAGTAAGAGCATGTTAAAACAAACAAAATGGAAAACCAAGCAAACCTGCCCATCTGTTTTGCAAAATTGTTTGTCATTGTTCTTTCCCACCGTGGCATATCCATGTTCCCCTTGCTCTACCTCCTCACCAATGTTTGCCGCTCGCCGAAGGGCTTTTCTGCTCACCCGTCCTGTGGCTGTGTGGTGGGATCCCGGCACAGCTTTAACTCACATTTCCCTAGTGGCTAATGACGTTGCACATCTTTCATGTGTTCATTGGCCATTTGTACATAATATCTTCTTTGGTGAAATATCCGTTCAAATCTTTTTTCGGCCGGGTGTGGTGGCTCACGCCTGTAATCCCAGCACTTTGGGAGGCCGAGGCGGGTGGATCACGAGGTCAACAGATCGAGACCATCCTGGTCAACATGGTGAAACCCCGTCTCTACTAAAAATACAAAAAATTAGCTGGGCATGGTAGCACGTGCCTGTAATCCCAGCTACTCGGGAGGCTGAGGCAGGAGAATTGCCTGAACCCAGGAGGCAAAGGTTGCGGTGAGCCAAGATCGCGCCATTACACTCCAGCCTGGGTAACAAGAGCAAAACTCTGTCTCAATAAAAAAAAATCTTTTTTCATATTTTTAAGGGTCATTTATTTCCTTGTTATTGAATTATGTTGTTCTGAAATTCTATAGGTCTTTATCAGATATATGTGTTGAGAATAATTTCTTCCATCCGTGGTTTTCTGTTTTGTGTTCTTAACAATGGCTCTTGATAAGTAAAAGTTTGTAATTTTGATGAAGTCCAATTTATCATTTTTTAAATTTTAGAATATAAGATTTTCGTGTTTACTAAAACTTCTTTGCCTAACCAAAGATCGTAATGATTTTATCTTATGTATTCTTCTAGAAGAGTTGTGAATTTAGTTTAGGCTTAGGTCTATTCATTTTGAATTTATTTTTATGGGGTGAGGTAAGGTCAGATACCTAGTTATTCCAGGATCATTTCTTGAAGAGATTTTTCTTTCTCTGTTGAATTACTTTAGCCCATTGACTGGAAATCAGTTGGCCATCTTAGTGTGGCCTATTTCTGAATTCCATTACGTTTCTTGATCTGTATGTCCACTCTTAGGTCATGACCGTACTCTCTTGGCTATCATAGCTTTATAGTGAGTACTGGAATCAGGTAGTGTAAGTTCTTTGGTAAAGTAGGTCCATTGCATTTCCTTATAAACTATAGAATCAACTTGGTAATTTTTAAAAACTTGGAATTTTGATTGCCATTAGGTCAAATCCATTCATCAATTTGGACAGAATTGCCATCTTAAGCCTTCCAGTTCATGGTCATGATACAGTTTTCCATTTATTTTTCTCTCTTTAATTTCTCTAAGTGGTCTCTTAGAACTTTCAAAGTATAGGGCTTGTACTGATTAATCTCAACGTATTTCAGCTATTTGGATGTCCTTATAAGTGGCATTTACAAACTTTAACGTGTTTATTGTTTATTGTATGTAGAGATGCAGAATTGATTTTCATATGTTATCCCTATACCTTGAGACCTTGCTAAACTCACCTGTTAGTTTCACTATTTTTCCTTATAGGTTTTCTATGATTTCTTACATACACAACAATGTCACTGCAAATAAAGAATTTTCTTTTTAACTTTTCAATCTGTGTGCTTTCAGTTTCTCTTTCTGGCCTGACTGCAGTGGCTGTCTCCTGCAGGATGACATTGACTGGGAGCAGTACCAGTGGTCTCCTGCAGTATGACATTGATTAGGAGCAGTAGCAGTGGTCTCCTGCAGGATGACATTGATTAGGAGAAGTACCAGTGGTCTCCTGCAGGATGACATTGATTGGGAGCAGGACCAGTCGTCTCCTGAAGGATGACATTGACTGGGAGCGGTACCAGTGGTCTCCTGCAGGATGACATTGATTAGGAGCAGTACCAGTGGTCTCCTGCAGGATGACATTGATTAGGAGCAGTACCAGTGGTCTCCTGCAGGATGACATTGACTGGGAGCAGTAGCAGTGGTCTCCTGCAGGATGACATTGATTAGGAGCAGTAGCAGTGGTCTCCTGCAGGATGACATTGATTAGGAGCAGTAGCAGTGGTCTCCTGCAGGATGACATTGATTAGGAGCAGTACCAGTGGTATCCTGCAGGATGACATTGATTAGGAGCAGTACCAGTGGTATCCTGCAGGATGACATTGATTGAGAGTGGTACCAGTGGTCTCCTGAAGGATGACATTGACTGGGAGCGGTACCAGTGGTCTCCTGCAGGATGACATTGATTGGGAGCAGTACCAGTGGTCTCCTGCAGAATGACATTGATTGGGAGCAGTACCAGTGGTCTCCTGCAGAATGACATTGACTGGGAGCAGTACCAGTGTCTCCTGCAGGATGACATTGATTAGGAGCGGTACCAGTGGTCTACTGAAGGATGACATTGACTGGGAGCGGTACCAGTGGTCTCCTGAAGGATGACATTGACTGGGAGCGGTACCAGTGGTCTCCTGCAGGATGACATTGACTGGGAGCGGTACCAGTGGTCTCCTGCAGGATGACATTGACTGGGAGCGGTAGCAGTGGTCTCCTGCAGGATGACATTGATTAGGAGCGGTACCAGTGGTCTCCTGCAGGATGACATTGATTAGGAGCGGTACCAGTGGTCTCCTGCAGGATGACATTGATTAGGAGCGGTACCAGTGGTCTCCTGCAGGATGACATTGATTAGGAGCAGTACCAGTGGTCTCCTGCAGGATGACATTGATTAGGAGCAGTACCAGTGGTCTCCTGCAGGATGACATTGACTGGAAGCAGTACCAGTGGTCTCCTGCAGGATGACATTGATTAGGAGCAGTAGCAGTGTTCTCTTGCAGGATGACATTGACTGGGAGCAGTACCAGTGGTCTCCTGCAGGATGACATTGATTGGGAGCAGTACCAGTGGTCTCCTGCAGGATGACATTGATTAGGAGCAGTACCAGTGGTCTCCTGCAGGATGACATTGATTAGGAGCAGTACCAGTGGTCTCCTGCAGGATGACATTGACTGGAAGCAGTAGCAGTGGTCTCCTGCAGGATGACATTGATTAGGAGCAGTAGCAGTGTTCTCTTGCAGGATGACATTGACTGGGAGCGGTACCAGTGGTCTCCTGCAGGATGACATTGATTGGGAGCAGTACCAGTGGTCTCCTGCAGGATGACATTGACTGGGAGCAGTAGCAGTTGTCTCTTGCAGGATGACATTGATTGGGAGCAGTAGCAGTGATCTCCTGCAGGATGACATTGACTGGGAGCAGTAGCAGTGGTCTCCTGCAGGATGACATTGATTAGGAGCAGTACCAGTGGTCTCCTGCAGGATGACATTGACTGGACGGCACCAGTGGTCTCCTTGCTTGGGGTTGCCAGTCTTAAGGGGAAGGCATTCAGTTTTCACCCTTAAATATGAGAGCTATGGGCTTCACGTAGACACTTCCAAGCAGGCTGAAGAAGGACACTTCTATTTCTAGTTTTCTAAGAGCTTATTATTATTTTTGATATTAGTATTGGCCATCAGTGTGTTACTCCTTTTTCTCATCCCTTTATATATTGCTGGATTAAATTTGCTAACATTTGGCTACACTGAAACTAGGGACACAGCCTGTAGTTTTTTCTTGTGATGATGTTTCTGGGTTTAATTTCAGGGTATAACTGGTTTCACAAAATCGAGTTAGGAAATGGTCCTTTTCTTTTATCGACGTTCTTAAAGGTTTGATAGAATTTACCAAAATCCTGCGGGTCTGGGAGTTTGTAGAAAGGCTTTGTAGGAATGCTTTGTTTTTTAAATTTGTTGTTGTTCTCCTGTTTTTGTGCTTAGATTTATGAAAAGCTTTAAATTATTAACTCAATTTTCTTTATTTTTTGCATCTCTTCACATTTTGTTTCTTCCTAAGTTGGTAATTTGTGTGTTTCACAGAGATCATCATTTTCACCTGAACTGTTGAATCACTGTGATAAGGTAGTTCATACTGGTCCCCTATTATCTATTTTATATCTGTAATATTTATCATGAAATTTCCTCTTTTATTTCTGATATAGGCAATTCGTGTTTTCTCCTTTTTCTAACTAAAATTAATAAATTTTACTGATCTTTCAAAAAAACTACTGATTTTTCTTTATTGTCTATTTTTGTTTTTAACTCTTTATTTTCTTCTACTTTCTTCAGTTTGATTCATACATCTTGCACACCCAAAGCCAAGTTATTTTCTGGTTGCATCATAGTATAATACATACTGTAAGACATCTTCCTTGTAAAACATTCGGATAAAAGCACTAGGAGACAGTGAATTTCACCTAGATATGCACCACCTGTGACAGTGAACATCAGCATTTGGGAGAGATTCAAACCTGTATCATCTTAGGCAGGTGAAAGTATTTCATGCAACTTTATAGTATCTCTTCTACCACCCTGTTCATTTTGCATCTCAGTATCCCTCTGAAATTCCCTCTCAGCCCCACAGCAAAGTTATGAAAACTATGGTATGTAAACGTTCATCTGTTTCTCCATGCACACTTAATATGCTGGTGTATTTTTTAGTTCATTCTTTTATATAAATACATTCATAGTATATACATTTCACTATATCTTATTTTTTCTTATGCTTGCATAAATTCCTTTTTTTGTTTTTTAAATGAAGTCTCTGTCACCCAGGCTGGAGTCCAGTGGAGCGATCTCTGCCCACTGTAACCTCTGCCTCCAGGGTTTAAGTGATTCTCCTGCCTCAGCCTCCTGAGTAGCTGGGATTACAGGCCTACACCACCATGCCCAGGTAACTTTTTTATTTTTAGTAGAGACGCGGTTTCACCACGTTGGCCAGGCTGGTTTTGAACTCCTGACCTCAAGTCATCAGCCCGCCTTGGCCTCCCAAAGTGCTACGATTACGGTTGTGAGCCACCGTGCCTGGCACATACATTTCTTATGATAAATGTGGAATTAAAAAAAAGACACAGAAATCTCTCCCAGTCTGTCGGCCCAATTGTATCTCATTCTGTGTGGTAGATGCCATGGCATTGTACCAGAATTTGCCATCCCAGACCCGTTTTTATTTTGCTTTGATTCTTTTTGGACCCTTAAAACTAGGCTTACAAGATCCTCATGTTTGTATACATTGAGTACTTACATAAGGTGCTTTTTGCTGTTTGGGACAGGAAAAGTTAGAAAAATAGATGGATATATGCTTTTCTGTATGTTGCTAGATTTAGTGAAGAAAATTGTAACAAGTCATGCTTCTCACACTTTCAGCATGAATGAGCGACCCCTTCTTTCCCAGTGTTGATGTGATACTCCCTTTCCCCCAATCCTTGCTATCTGAGAACTTTGCCATTCTTGATTTTAGCAATTTGGACAGTGTCTTTCCATTTCCTGTTATGATTGATGGGAATTTGATGACTTTATATCACTAGCCCTTCCCTTTCGATATAGTTATATGACTATTTGCATTTTCATCAATAAACAGTATGTGGCTTGTGGAACCCGTTGCTCCAGGAGAGGCAGTTGTGGGAAGAAGAAAAGGCTCTGGTGAGTCCTGCTGTCTTCTTGCCACTTCCAGCCAAGTACTGGGGGAGAAGGGGCCCAGGAGAGGACCGGAGGGTGTGCAGGCAGATGGATGAGATGGCAGGTGCTCTGGGTCCCTGATCCAGACATTTGAGGCCTCCCAGACTTGGACAAGAAAGTGATTTGCTTGTCTTTTAAAAATCGATTTTTCAACTTTAAAAATACATAATGTGGTTTTTAAAATTTTGTTGGTTTTGTGGATTACAAAAATCTCCCAGGATGTGACTTATTGATTTATATATGCTTTTGCCACACTTAAACTTTTTACCTGTAAGGAGAGTGTTTGTGGAGGGTTTCACAGCCTTTACCCTCTATTTAGCCACATGGAATTTGTAGAACTTTATAAATTTATGGCTTGCCTTGATGATGTCTTTCATTAGTTTTGGAAAATATTACCAATTATCTCTTTAAACCATGATTTGTCTGTACTCCGGCTTTGGTTTCTTTCTGGAGCTGCTGTTCTGTGCATGTTGGATTTTCCCCTGAGTCCTGCAGGCCTGTCGTGCTGTCTTCTGCAGTCCCTGCCCTTTTCCTCTCTGTTTTAGTTGTGATATTTTCCATTGACCTGGACTCTGGTTCATGGTCCTTTCTTCTGCTGGGTAGCATCTGCTGTGAAACCCATCTGTTGAGTTCTTCATTTCAATTATTGTATTTTCCACTTCTAAAATTCCCATTTGGTTCTTTTTAATAGATATCAATTCTCTGGTGAGATTTTGCATTTTTCCTTCTTGTTCCCATCATTTCCTCGAACATATTCATAACCTGTTTTAAATTCCTTACCTGATGATTTTAGTATATGCATCCAAGGTGGGTGTTTTTCTGCTGACTTGTTTCCCCTGACTTTGGATCACTGAGTTCCATCACTGTAATGTGCATGGCATTCCTGTGCCCGCCCTGAATTCTAGACCTTGTGTATGAACAGTTGTGAGACCTATGGGTGCCATCTTCTCCCAGAGAGGGTTCATGCTTTCTGTGCGAGGCAGATCAAGGAGGTCCAAGCTGCCTTCAAGTCTAAGCTGACTTGAGGCTGGGCTGTCAGTGGGCTCCGTGGGCCCCTCCTCTCTGGGGGTCTTACCCAAAGGCCTGTGGGGATCACAAGGCCCCTCTCCTCAGCAGTTGCTAATCTCCAAGCCTTGATTTTTCTGGAACTTGGTGCACTTTCACTACTGTGGCCTGGGGCTTTCTTCTTGGCTTGGTGCCTTTTCACCCCTTACAACCTCATAAGCCAGCAGATGTGTGGAGGGAAAATGCTGACACCATTTTCATGGATAAGCCAGGACTGGTTTATCTCTCCCCTTCCCAGTGGGATCCTGGTCCCTCAAGTCTCTCATTTTAGTTTTCCATCCACATGAGCCCGCCGAAACCTTGATGGGGTCTCTGACTCTCAGTAGTGGCCTCAGGCCTGGCTCTTTGTGCAGACTGAGCCTCGCTCTATATCAGACTCAATAGATGGCTTGATGGGAGGAGCTGCAGGATGTGGCCCCCTCTCCCGGAGTTTACCCTTCTCCTGGTTTTGTCTTCTCAAGTCCTTGTGGCCACCATGGTGCTCCAGTGCTTTCAAACAGATTTTGGGGGTGTTTTCCCAGATTTTCTATTTAATCTTGGCAGGAGCACTGGCTCATCACCAACAACCTCCCACATCAGCAACTTGAGCTTTTTCCAAATAAAAAAAGTTGAAAACATAAATAATAAATAACTGCCTTCCTGGGAGCTGCAACGGAAAAGCAACCCTGTGGCGGTTTGAAGAATTAAGCAGGCACCTAGAAGGGAGCTGACATTTCATCATGCCCTGCTGGGAGTTTTTGATTACCCCTTTTATTTTTTGAAAAACAACAAAAAAATCAGGTTAAGAAAGTTCCTTTCTATTTTCTACATTGTTTAAACACATGAATGATTGTTAATTTTATAAAAGGATTTTTCTGAATCAACTGAGGAGAGCAATATCTTTTCTGCTTTAATCTGTTGGGGTAACTTAGTAGTTACCTTGCAGATATTCCGGTGTTGAACCATTTTACACTGTTAGGTGAAATCCCGCTTTGCCATGACAAATGATCGGTAAAATGGCTCATGTGGTAATATTTGAGTTGGGATCCTTGCATGTGTGAGCAAAAGCAGGAATGGTGAAGGACTTTTTCCTGCATTGTCCCTGGCTGGTTCTGGTGTTAACATGTTGGCTGTGTTGGATGGGTCAGACCTTCCTCTGGCCCTGCTCATCTGTGAGCCCAGACTACCCGCTCCCTTGGGGATGCTGTGTCACGGCTGTTGTGCTGCTTTCAAACCCCATTATTCTCAGCTTTGCTTTTGCTTTTTTTTTTTTTTTTTTCCCCGAGATGGAGTTTTGCTGTGTCACCCACGCTGGAGTGCAGTGGTGTGATCTCAGCTCACTGCAACCTCTGCCTCCTGAGTTCAAGCAATGCTCCTGCCTCAGCCTCCTGAGTAGCTGGGATTATAGGCGTGCACCACCACACCCAGCTAATTTTTGTATTTGTAGTAGAGATGGGGTTTCACTATGTTGTCCAGGCTGATCTCAAACTCCCAACCTCAAGTGACGTGCATGCCTCAGCCTCCCAAAGTGCTGGGAATACAGGTGTGAGCCACCATACCGGCCAGCTTTCCATTTTTGTATCACCTTTGGTTTGTAGAGTTATTTAGCTGATTTTGAGCTTGATCATTTTTTTTTTTGGTGGGGGGGTGGGTGTGCTTGGTAGATTTTATCTGTCATAGTAAAATGTTTGGGCCTGAGAGGGAACCTCAAAACTGACTCTATAATGACATCTTGGCAAGAAGCCCACAAGAGGACATTTATTTATTTTTGAATGTTTTAAGCGTTTTTATTTAGAAAAGGCTCAAGCACAGGGTGAAGGCTGAAGAATGCTGTGAGGAGCATGCAGGTACAGAAAATCATTTGTGAGCATTCTTGCCACATTGACCTATGTGTGTACAACTTCTCTGCTGGACTGAGAAAAGCACATTTTGGATTTTGTCACTTTGCTCTTTAGCACGTGTCATCATCCATGTTTACTTCCGTGGTTTGTTTGTTTCTTTTTTTTTGAGATGGGGTCTCCCTCTCTTGCCCAGGTGGGGCACAGTGGCGCAATCTCAGCTCACGGCAACCTCCACCTCCCAGGTTCAAGCTATTCTCCTGCCTCAGCCTCCCAAGTAGCTGGGACTACAGGTATGTGCCACCACACATGGCTAATTTTCGTATTTTTAGTAGAGACAGGGTTTCACCATGTTGGTCAGGCTGGTCTTGAACTCTGGCCTTCTGATCCTCCCACCTCAGCTTCCCAAAGTGCTGGGATTACAGGCATGAGCCACTGTGACCGGCCCACTTCTGTGGTTTCTAACTGCACAAAGGATGGCGGTGGCAGCACAGGAGACTTTCCAGTGATGGTGGGCAGGGAGCAGTCACTCCTGTGGTTTTCTGCTCCTGTGTCTGTTTGTGGGGTGACAGCTTCGTGCCACATTTCTCAGTCTCCTCCCAAGAGGCCTTGCGTGCATTTTTTTTTGTTACTCTGCTGGTAACAGCTGAATTTAAAATGGTTAAAAAGCTGTAGTAATGAGTTTTCTCAGGTCTATAACTGATTCCAGGAGACCCTTTCAGGCTCATTTGTGAAACGTGTGAGACGTAGACTAAGTCTAACACAAAATTCACAAACATTTGCTTGGGTAAAAGTGGCACCATACTGAGAAAGAAAATATTACCTCAGTGCCAACAAATTAAAAATAATTTTATATCCAAATTGTTGGCTAAGGTATTCCCAAATTTCTCACGTCTAAGTTTTTAAAGTTGTTTATAAAAAGAAAACTTTTAATTTTTTGCTTCAGATTACACACCGTTTGCTTCACTCATTTGAATTTGATGATGTGTTTTCAAGAGTGATTGAATGAAGCCTGTACTTACATTGTGTGTGTTTTCTGGCGTACCGTGTCATGAACGGACCACCTTGTTAGTATTGAGTGCACACGCACCCATATCGCCTGGTGTGACCTCCGGCCGGGCAGTGCATGTCTGGAGGCCCGAGTAGGAGGTGGGCGAACCAGTTCCCTGATTCTGGCCTACCACCAAGACTTGATCAGACAGAGTCAGAACAAATACTTACTAAATTAAATCAAATAAGTGGATTCTGGCAGTTGGGTTGGTTGGAGTGTTGACTGCGTAAGGAGCGATGGAAATGCAGATGGGGGTCTCTCCCTTCTGTTCACTTTTCTCCAAGTGTGGAGTGGTTGATGGCCTTCCCGCTACCTTTGTCACTCCTCCTTAGACTCCAGGGCTATTCACATGACCTCACACACGTGACTGCAGCTCCACTTGCTGAAGGCGTGGTGTGCATTTTCCTGGTCTGGACTTTGGATTCAGATCGCACTGATGTATGGAATGGGGCCAGTGCACTGGTACAGGATCCTAAGCCCAGAACTCAGAGGCCTTTTTTCCCCTACCCTCTTCCACTTCTTCCCTTGAGCTGGGAACTGGCCCAGGACAGCCCCATCCCCTTGAGCTGAGAACTGGCCCAGGACAGCCCACTCTTCCCAGGAAGGAACTGGAGGAGCAGCGGCGAGCTGCTGTAGCTGCACCCAGCTAGGCCTGCTGACCCCCAGCTGCCCTTCAGGTGTGTGAGCCGTGGAGACGCCCTCCGTGTGCTGCTGCTGAGGTTCTGTGGTTGCTTGGGTCTGTGCGTGTAGGTAAGTGTTAGCGTTACCGAGGACGCCTTGAGTCAGCGGGGCACCGTCTTGGTTTTAATGTGATATAAAGTGTGTTAAGTGAACACGCAACAGGGTGATATAACGTGTGTTAAGTGAACACACGACAGGCTTTCTCCTTCCTCTTAATAGTCTTCCTCATGAAAATAATCCAAGAACTGTAAATATGAAAAGCTTGACCTCAGACTCGAGGCCTTTACAGAAGACGAACGGGCCTGTGGTTTCAAGTCTGCCCGAGCGGGGCTGGAACCCGGCCTGGGGCTCCCTGAACAGTGCTCCATCCTTGACCTGCAGACCGTCTTGTATGATGAGAAAAGGTGCTAGGGCCACCGGGTTGTGGGCCGCACGTGCAGAGACTGGCTGAAAACGCAGCCTCCCTTGCTGGGCCCCTCCGTCCGTGTCTGGAATAGTCCTTAGATCGCGCCTGGCCACGGGCTGCTTCCTGGGGCCCCGGGTGTGGCCCTGCGTGGACGCCCCAGTTCCCGGGCACGAGGTGTCGCTCTTGTGCTGACTGCGGAGATAACGTTCTTGCTCAGATTTTCATGCCGTTAATGGTTTGCCTCTTTAGCACAGAGTGAACTCATCAGGCAGCCTCTGCGGGGACATAAATCATAGCATTTCTGAGGAACCTCAGCTGAAATAAATCAAGGAATTTTTTTTTTAATCAGCTCTTCAATCACTCTTTTTAGTCACGTGGAAAAATGGTCCGTGCTGTATTTACAGTCTGATGGGAAGGAGATGTTTAACATCCGTGTAGCAGATTAAACATGACAAGTTATATGGTGAAGAGTGTGAAAAGGTGTTTACGCCGACACGCAATATCTAGGCTGATCTACAGCTCAGTAATAGACGCCATAAATCTCCTGCAGGCCCGGGAGGCTGCGCGCGGGAGGAGCAACATGGCGGGTCAGCGGCATTCCCGCCTGCGCAGGCGCTGCCCAGTTCCAGCCAATCCTCGCCTCGCGCGCTCAGGAGTGGGCGGAGTGTGGCCTCCCCGCGGCCGCAGGCAGCCTTTCACACGTGCGTGCGCACACCCCTGACGCAGGTTCGCCAGCTCGGCCCCGCCTTTCAATGAATTTTCTAACTCATTGCCTTCCTGATACTGTGAGTGAAAAATAAACCCGAGAAAATAATGTTTTATTCCATCGCTAGTCCCAAACACATTCTAGTTTTTTCAATCAAACAAAAAACTTTTTAAAAAAGTGTATTTATTTACTTAACCTACTTTTTTTTTGTAGCCATGGCTTTTTACATTATTATTATTATTGAGTTGAAGTCTTGCTCTGTTTCCCAGGCTGGAGTGCAGTGGCCCCATCTCCACTCACTGCAGCCTCCACCTCCTGGGTTCAAGCCATTCTCCTGCCTCAGCCTCCCTAGTAGCTGGGACTATAGGTGCCCGTCACCACACCTGGCTAGTCTCTGTATGTTTTAGTAGAGTCAGGATTTCACAGTGTTGGCCAGGCTTGTCTCAAACTCATGACCTCAGGTGATCCGCCCTCCTCGGCCTCTCAAAGTACTGGGATTACAGGCGTGTGCTACCTTGCCTGGCCGTATAGTATTTTTAATTGACAAATAATTGTGTATACTTTTGGGGTAAAATGTGATGTTTTGATCTAGGTAATACATTGTAGATTCAATCTAGCTAATTAATGTACCCATCACCTCACCAACTTACTGTTTTTGTGTAAGAATGTCAAAATCTATACTTTTAGCAATTTTGAAATATACGTTATTATTAACTGTGGTCACCATACAGCCATTAGATCACGAGAACTTCTTCCTCCACACTAGCAGAGACCTTTGATCTACATCGTCCTCTCCCTACCCTCATGGCCCCTGCTAAATCACCTTTCTGCTGCATATGTCTATAAGACTGACTTTTTAAATTTCACTGTAAGTGAGATCACACCATATTTCTTTCTGCGCCTGAATACTCCACTTAGCATAATGTCCTCCTGATTGTGCAAATGACAGGATATCATTTTTTATTTTCTTAAAGCTGAATAATATCCCATTGCATATATATACACCATGATTTCTTATCCATTCATCCCTCAATGGATACTTAGGTTGATTCCAGATCTGGGCTACTGTGAATACATGGGAGTGCAGGTATCCCTTCTGTGTACGGATTTCATTTCCTTTGAGTCTATACCCAGCTGTGAGATTGCTGGATTGTATGGTGGGGCCATTTTTCACTTTTGAGGAACCTCCGTGCTGTCTTCCAATATGGCTGCATGCTCACTAACACTGGTCATTTGTGTTTTTCCTCATAAACTCCTAACAGGCGCGTGGCGATATCTCATCGTGGTCTTTTTGTGCATCTCCTGCTGACTTGAGATGTTGGGCATCCTTCGTGGCCCTGTTGGCCATGTGCATCTTGTCTTTGAAGACGTGTCTGTTTGGACCCTTTGCCCATTTTGTAATTGGGTTCTTTGTTTTCTTGCTGCAGAAGAACTTCAGTTCCTTCTGTGTTTGGATGGTAGCCCGTTGTCAGATGGGTGGTTCGCAGACATTTTCTAACCTGTTGTTTCCCTCCTCACTCTGTTGACTGCCTCCTTTGCAGCTCACATTCCAGTTCTTGCAAAAGAATTGTAGATGGCAGATGTTTTGGATTTTATTTAAAAAATGAGAGACATTTATGATATAAAACATTTGATGTAAAAACTTGATAGATACCAGGATTATTGAAGTGATATGTAAAGTAGAAATAAGTTTACTGTAAGTGAAACCTAAAGGGCTCTCTTACAAGCTTTCACGCCTTAGCCTTCTAGGGCCATCTTTCCCCATTTCTTTTCTCAACAACAAAAAAAGAAATGCTATAAACACAATCGATATTTACTTTCACTTGCACATGTGCAAGCGTGCGTGTATGCACACACACACTCACACACTCTCTCTCTCTCTCTCTCTCTCTCTCTCCAGCATGTTTCTTGGGTCTCACTCTGTTTCAGGCCGATGTTTTCTGAATTGGAATGTAGAGTGGTTGGTACCAGCCTATTTACACTCTCTTGGCTGCCATGACTTGATGCCAATAGGAAGGAGTTGTGAGAGAATGACCCAGGTTAGTAGTGGGTTCGGGGTAGCAATACTTTTCAGAATTTTTGTTTGTATTCAGTAAGTATTTACTGAATGCCTATCATAGACACAGCCAAATAGTAGCCACTGTGAAGAATGTAAGTCGTACAAACCATGGCTGTCATTCCAAGGAGATTTCAATTCATTTAGAAAGGCCATAGTGCTAATCAAATCGTGTTGTAACCAACCAAGCCGGCTTAACCCCATCCACAAGATAAAGGGATGACCATAGAAGAAGAATGACTATGAAAAGAGGATTTGTTTTCTAATAGCATATTATAATGTTTTTAAACTCAACTTCATAGTAGCATACAATGCAAGGATTTCTGGAGCAGGATGATTTCCATAGCATATCACTTCTATCCTTTCCCAACTCTCCTCCCCCTGAACATTCCATTTAGCATGGCAGGAGTTGGTGATGCCAGCGTGGCCCAGGGGCTGGTGTTCGGCATCCTGCTCTCTGGCTGGCCTTAATGCCGGGGCTCCGCCAACTGTTTCCTGGCCTGCGCCGCCACTTTGGGAAGAAGCTTCCTGTGCTTCTGACTTCCTGCTTTGTGCGGCTACCGTGTGAGACCTGGGGTCTCAGGGTCCTGTTCCCACAGGCTCAGTGAGCAGAAGGGGTTTCTCAGTCTGCCCATGACTGCCCCCAGCTCTGTCTCCATCCCTCTCCTCCTGGTGTCTTCTCAGGTCTGGAGTTGCAGGCTGGTCCTCATGCCTTATCTTGTCTCATGTATGCTCTTAGCTCCATTTACCTTGGGTTGTGATATTACGTCTTAATTTCCTGCATGGTATTTAATAGTGAAACATTAGAGGAAAGCCTGTTAAACACAAAACATGAATGCCTACGATTCCCATTGTCATTACTATTCTGAAAAATTCAAGCAATTACAAGAACAATATCGTAACTAGAATAAAACTTCAGAGGAAAAAAGGATTCAGTATTTTAAATGTTAGGACTTAAAATTAAAAGGAATCAAGTTAGAAGCAATTGAATTTGTAATAATGACACAAATGTCATGGTTATTACTATATTTGGGAACAACTTGTGGGTAATATGACAAAAAATAAATCCTGTTGTGATAAATCTGTGTGTGATGTGTAGGATCCTGTTATGATAAATCTATGTGTGATGTGTAGGAATGCCATTAGTGACATCTATCATTTTTACACCATTTACTGCACTTTCAGGGGCCCTGCCACCTGTCCGTTGCCCTGGAAGGGGTGGCCTCAGGTGTTATATGATGCAGACAGCACGCTGCTGCCTCGCCAATCTTCTGCACCTCCCTCGTGTCCCAAACTGGTGGGTCCTGGAGGAAAGTGGCTGACCCACACCTGCCACCAGTTCTCTCTCTGATGAATCTGAATTGAGAGACACAGAGACTATATGGGATAGTTCAGTGGTGGTGGGGAGGGAGGCACAGAGGTGAAAATTCATGCAGAGTTGGGGAGAAATGGACCACAATAAATCAAAGCCCCGTACCAGCTAAAATCACAGAGAAGCAGAGACCTTGGGCAAGACGAGAAGTTGGTCTGAAGAGAGACGCTCAGGACCAGAGCAGATTCATGGAGCATAGCAGTGACTGAGATGGTGTGTGTGTGTTGCTGGGTGGTGGTGGGGTGAGGGGAGTGGCGGGGGGGGGTAGAGAGACAGAGAGAGTCAGAAGGGGAGGGGAGACAGAGACAGAGGGAGAGAGTGGGAAGAAGAGCTTTGGCCCTGGCTGTCTTGTTCCAGCCCCTGGGGTGCTTGTCTATATTGCGTATTCTGTCTTGGAATTCCTTGAGTTCTAGGACCTATAATCTTACAACAAAATCTCTTTTGCTTGTTAGTTTGAGTGGTATTTCTGTGTATCGAAGCCAAAGATTTTCCTGCCTAAAATAATATTAAGAAGGAAAGCATAGAACTATTAGAGGAAAGCAATCATTTATTTTATGGAAAGACAGGAACAGAATAAATGGAGGAGCATTCCATGTTGATGCAGTGGGACATGAATAGTGTGGGGATGCCCGTTTTCCTAAAATTAATTGCTGGGGCTCAAATAATCGATGAAAATGGGATTAATCTTCCTTTTCTTCATGTTCTTTTGAGATTGCTGGAATTATTTTAAAGTTCATCTGATAGAATGAACCTAATAAGAAGTAATACTAATAATAACAGGGAACATTTACTTAGCGATTACTGGTACTAGAGCCTTTCAACTAATTTCCATGTATTCAGAAGAGAATGGCCACAAATAAACATGACATTTTGTAAAAGGAAGAGTGGTGAGGGACACAAATGTACGAAATGTTAAAACCTGCTCTAACGGTGGCCATCAAACATTCGTGGTATCTGCTCTGGAGAATAAGTTGAAAATCAGAGAGCCTCACAAGCGCTCGTTCTGAATTTATTTATCTTTGTATTATGTGTAGGAATATGTCATATATTCTGTATGTTGCACTTGGCTACTAATTTTAAATATTGTCTTACAAGGTCAACTTATATGCTCACTTTATTCTCCCAAATGAATTACATTTAGATGAGGTAAACATGTAAAAAAATCAGGCCACAGAAAACTGGAAAAGACTCTCATGGTCTCCCCCAGATCTTCTGTGAGCAAACAGTGCATTTCACTTCCCTCAAGCTGTTTTTCATTAATTCTGATTCCCAGACTTTTCTCCATTCTGACTACACCATAAAGGGACTTTACCCCTCGATGAATGATTTTAGCGGCCATCAAACTGTTTTAAACAGGCAGATGTCTCCGGATTATCACCTATGTGCAAAATAGAAAGTGACTTGGAGGTGGAAAGACCAGCCAGAAAACTGCTGCAGGCCAGGAAAGCGAGTGGTGGCTTGGGTTAAACACAGAAATATGTAAGAGTTTGTGATGGATGGGATGTGAGGTTCCCGAAAGGGCGGACCCGGGCAGCTGGGAGAAGTGGTGCAATTCACCAAAAGAGGAAAAGTGCAGGAGCAGGCCGGGCAGAGAAGCTCGTGCGTTCATTCTTAGACAGGTTGAGTTTGCAGTGCTCTGAAATACCCAGTGGAGACAGGTAGTAGACAGCTTGGCATGCGTGTTTGAGTTTCAGGAGACCAGTCTTGAAGGAAAATCTAGATTTCGGAGTTATTGGCATATAGATAATAACAAAAGCTCTGGAGATGGAGTGGCAGTGGTTGAGGTGAGTAGTAGAGAACCCACGGAGCTGGGCCCCTGAACAGACACCCTCTGGGACCTTAGCCCTGGAAGGTAAGAGCTGCCATGGAGCATACAGTGGCAAAGACAGGGCCTTTTCACGGTCCCAGTGGCAGGAACTCCCATTTGTCAAGGTGAATTCGGTGCTGATGTTCAAACAGCCAGCAACAAACTCACAGGTGAGCCCTTGATGTGACTCGGTTCCTCAAGGAGGTCATCTGACCACCTGGGGACAAACTGACTCTGCTGCACCCCTTCTGTCTGGGAGGAATGGCGGCTTGGCCTCAGGGTAGCAGTCACCCACCTGGGGCGCTGGTTTGCTGTTCCTGTTCCAATGCTTCAGGCAGGACCACTGTCTGAGCAGCAGGTGCACAGGCAGGGACTGTCTTGACCTCAGGGAATCACAGTGAGAGAGGGTGTATCAGTTTGTTCTCACGCTGCTAATAAAGACATACACGAGACTGGGTAATTTATAAAGGAAGAGGTTTAATGGACTTACAGTCCACATGGCTGGGGAGGCCTCACAATCATGGCAGAAGGCAAAGGAAGAGCAAAGGCACGTCTCACATGGCGGCAGGCAAGAGAGCGTGTGCAGGGGAACTGTCCATGATGAAACCATCAGATCTCGTGAGACTTACTATCATGAGAACAGCATGGGAAAGACCCACCCCCATGGTTCATACCTCCCACTGGGTCCCTCCCATGATACATGGGCATTCTGGGAGCTACAATTCAAGATGAGATTTGGGTGGGGACACAACCAGACCATATCAGAGGAGCAGAAGGGCGGCTGCCACCAGACCCACTGGAAGCATCATGTACCTGTCCACGTGCTTCAGGCCTGAGAGAGCGGAGGTGTGTGGGCTGAAACCCCAGCTCTAGGGCAGTGCTCTGCCAGGCTGGAGTCTAGGCCTAGAATCTGAGCTCTTTCCATGGCACTGTGTTCCCGAGGAAGCCCAGGAACCAGAGGTGGAGGCAGGAGTAGCCCCACTTTTCATCCCTTCGGGTGAGCCACTGGGAGACTTGGTGCTTCCTCTTCTTGCCACTGGGGGCTCTTCAAGGCTAGTTTAGTCCCCTAAGAGTGAGAACTTTTGCTGGTGGTCATAGATGGGGTGCTACTGGATGATAGGCCAACAGCTCCCTCTGCACCATTTTTGCATGGGAGCCCCCGCTTGGGCTGGCGGAGACTCTTGAGCTGTGCTGCAGCCCCGGGACCTAGTGCCCCAAGCCTCCTTCCTCATCCCGCCGCAGGTTAGGTCTGCAGTTCGGCCGTGAACTCTCCGCTCCTGCTCCTGCTCCCTCTGTCTCACTCACAGGAACTTCCCTGATCTAGCTCACACACTTCAAATTCTGGTTTTGAGTCAGTGTCACCAAGGCTGCCAGCTGACCCAGATGGGTAGGTTGACATTGGGAGATAGTCTTGACATCCTGAAATGGAGGAATTGCTTTGATTAATAGGAAGATACTATTCTTCCACCAAGCAAGTTTGAGGAACGTTTTCTCTGGGGAAGATTTTCAGTGCTCCATTCGGAATATTATTTGAAAAGATACAGGAAACATAAACCCTTCAAAAACCCACAGTTGAGGGAATTTCGCTGAAGCAGAAAACAGGCTAAGGCCTGAGGAGGGGCTTACCGAGGCTGAAGTAGGTCAGGAACCGACTCCAGGCTGTGTGGGTGGGAACTGCACCAGTGGGGCCGGTCTATTCATCAGATGCAAAATCAGACCAAAAGATTGAGCAGCAGAAGGAATCGGCATCCTTGAGCCCAAAATACTTCCATCAAAACCTTGCCTCTACTTTTGGGTTTCTTCTCCAGTAATTTACACGTTTTCATCTGGCTTTTGCCTTTGTCTGGATTGTTGAGTTTTAATTTTGTGGATAAGGCCAGAATGCTTCCTTCAGAAAGGGCTTTGCTCCAGGGATGTGGGACAGAGCGATGTCCTGCAGGTGGGTTAGTCTGAAGAATGTCCTGGAAGACTCCTGAAGATTCACCGAGCCTCTCATGGGAGCCCTTGGAATTCCAGTATCAGGCACATGTTATGTTTTCCACATTTCCTGTTGAAATGCAAAAAGATATTTCATTCCTCTGTATCTCAGAGAAATGGCACTAACACCTCAAGAGGACTCAGGAGGCAGGAGACTGTTGATATCAGGTCGTGAAGGAGAAAGATACAAAGCCCACATTTACCAACCTCACACCTCCCTGCTTCACCTGAAGCTTCAATCTACTTCTTTTTCTTTCTTTCTTTTTGAGATGGAGTTTCACTCTTGTTGCCCAGACTGGAGTGCAATGGCACAATCTCAGCTCACTGCAACCTCTGCCTCCTGGGTTCAAGTGATTCTCCCAACTAGCTGGGACTCAGGCATGCATCACCACACCTGGCTAATTTTGTATTTTTGGTAGAGATGGGGTTTCTTCATGTTGGTCAGGCTGGTCCCAAACTCCCAACCTCAGGTGATCTGCCCACTTTGGCCCCTTAAAAGTGTTGAGATTACAGGCATGAGCCACCGTGCCTGGCCATGTCAAGCTACTTCTGAACAGTGAGGATTTCGACCCAGGAGCTCTCATAGTGAGGTTTTTGACTGACTGAACTCTGCCTTTCCTTTGGGAAGTTAGAAGGCCTTGCTTGAGGAACACAATTGTCTTTATGAAATGGAATGTGATGATGCATTATCCCCATTTTATAGTTGAGAAAGTTGTCAACAAGTCGAGTGACTTTTGGGAGTCTTGGATTCAACCCAATGCTCTGTCTCCACTGGGTGAAGCTGTCTTGTCTCATGTTCAAATCTAGTGCGTCAGAAGAAAACACACTTAAAAGAAGAAAGCACGGAGGCAGAGGAAACATCGGAAGGTGTTCTGGAATAGAGGGTGATACATTTTCAGCAGATCAGGAGGATTCTCTGCTAATGAGGGGAATTCCAGCCGTGCCCAGGAAATGTCTTTCATAACCTGCCTTTATGTTTGGTCTCATGGACATTTTGTTTTGTTGCCAGAGCATTTGCTAGGGTCATGCCAACTCTAATGAAGGGTGCCCGTGATCTGAAACTTTGATGGTTGATGAATCTCTCTGATGGGAACACAAAGGCACAGACACTCAGAAAACCCTCAGCACAAATGATGAAGGTAAATAGCATATCATTCCCTAAATTGCTTAATAGTATTTGGGCATAAATATCTTGGTAGGTCTTAAAAGATTTGCAGAGTTCACAGGAAAATCAGGAACCTGAAACTTACTGCTTCAAGCAAAAGTCTCTTTTTCTTCTAAAAAAGCCAGGAGGTTGCCTTCTCTTCCTTGCAGACTAATTTAGCCCTGAAGTAGTAACTTCTTTATTTCACCATGGTTTCAGGTTTGTTTGATTTTTAAAAAATGCATTTAAAAATTTTTCATCAAGTCTATGACTGACCTGTTTCTAAGTGTTCTGTAACCTTTTGGGCAGAGAGCCTTTTTGACCCACACTGGCTTTGCTGCACCTGCTGAGGCTGGTTGCATTGAATGAAAGGCTGGTAAAGGCGCACTGGTGGGGTCTGAGGCCTCACTGCCACTCCTTAAAGGGACACAAGGGTCTTTCCCAGCACAGGAATCACCTGCTGCCCGTGTCTCCTGCTGGACTGGAACCGAAGCCAGAGGTCATGGGGTCCAGGTGAAGCGATTGTAGGGGTCGGTGTATGGGCATAGAGCCATCAGAGGAGGGTCAGCATTGGCGGGCAGAGGATGTCAGGTCACAGAGCTGATGGGTCTTGGATGCTGTGTCGGCCCCAGGAACAGAACGATGACCCTATGGGTCCCTCTCTAGTGTCCTTTGCATACCTCTTGTGCATTTGTCCCCTCCGATAAACTAGCACAGGGACTCAGATTCTGCCTGAAGAAGAATCTCCACCTTGAAAGATTTTTGTCTGGACTTCAAGCTCCCTTCCTGTTCTCAAATCTATGACATCCTGAAATTCTAATCCCAGAGCACTTTTCCAGTGGGTTCTGGAGGCTGTAACCCACACAGGCCCTGCAGCCACATCCTGGTGAGAACCCGCTCATGATGACCCCGTGAAAACCTTCTGTGTCGCTGTGTGGCCTCTGTTCATCCTCTCAGCCTGAAACCAAAATGCTAATGAAGATCACTGAAGAGGAAGTCATTGCCAATTAGAAAACCATCGTGGTATTTTCGTTTTTGCTGAAGGACTTAATTATTATGAGAAATGATAATTAAAATTATAGTTTACCTTGGAAGTATTGAGAGATTTTTAGTTCTCTCATAAACTTATGAGCAATTAGATAGGAAAGGGTCTCTTGTAATGACTTTTAGTAAGAAGAGAGAGTAAATTCAACCTGGTACTTAAACAAAATTTTAAAAAATTATGGATTTTTTATCCATGTAAATGAATGTGGGGCTGGGGAAAGCCACCCTCTTCCTGCTTTTCCCCTTCTTATGTTCCAATGTGTCTGGACCCCATGTCATTCATTCACACGGGCTGCTGCTCCCATCCTTCAAAACAGGGAAATGCCATCTGGTTGGGCTGGGGAAGCTGTAGTTTCAGGTACATTTGGGAAGGCCTGGACTGAGGCTTGTCTGTGTTATTTGGGGAGAATGTTATGGATACAATGTTTGTTCCCCCCCAGATTCCTATGATGGTGCCCTAACCCCCAATGTGACTGTGTTTGGAGATGGGGCCTGTGAGGAGGTGATAAAGGTTAAATGATGTCATCAGGGTGGGCCCTGGTTTGACAGGACTAGTCCCTTCTAGCAAGAGGAGGAGACAGTGAGAAGGTGGCCGTCTGCAAGGCAGGAGGAGAGCCCTCACCAGGAACCAACCCTGGCACCTTGAACTTGTACTTCCAGCCCCCAGGACCATGAGAAGGTAAATGTCTGCTGTGCGATCCACCCAGTCTTTACTACTGTATTGTGGCAGCCTGTGGTGACTAATACAGAGAGAAAGAATTTCACAGTCAGGTACAGATAAAGTAGAGATAAAAGAGAAGAGACTTCTGCCCAGTGGGAAGGATATGGGCTCCTCATGGAAGTGAGGAGCATGCATAAAAAACCATGGAGATGCTACCTACGGATTACACAGTTTTTCATTCAAACCCCCTGTCTGAGTAGTAGGCCCCAGTCCTCTCTTGCCTTCCCACATGGGCCCTGCTGCTGCACTGGCACAGCAGAATCTGCTTCCACATCTCACCATGCTGGTCTACTTTCAGGCCTTGGTGGTTACATGGCCCAATCCTTCCCAGGCAGAGCAGGCTGCATGTACAACTATTAATAAATTCTTTTCTGTTTCTCCACTTTTTTTTTTTTGAGACAGAGCCTTGCTTCGTCACCAGGTGCCAGGCTGGAGTACAGCCACGCAATCTTGGCTCATTGCAACCTCTGCCTCCCAGGTTCAAGCAATTCTCCTGCCTCAGCCTCCAAGGTAACTGGGATTACTGGCACCCGCCACCATGGCTAGCTAATTTTTGTATTTTTAGTAGAGATGGGGTTTCACCATGTAGGTCAGGGTGGTCTTGATTTCTGGACCTCGTGATCCACCTGCCTCAGCCTCCCAAAGTGCTGGGATTACAGTCCACTTTCATTATTAAATCTGATGAACTGTGAACTATTCCTGTACCTGTATGTGGTTCAAACCTTACTGCAAGAATCCGTAACTGTGTGTTACCGTCCCATACTCAGTCTATGTTCACTTTTTGCTCATTGCACCCTGGGGTTGACTGATCACTCCATTTTTGTCTTGATTCTGTGTCTGGCATTGTGACTTTGGACATATTCCCTGGGCCTCATTCTTTTTCTGTTACTTTCTAAATGGCAGTAATAATATTTGTGTTTACTGTGTTGGAGGAATTTCATAAGAATCTGAAAAAACAGATTTGGAATCCCTTTGACAGACTGAAAGTACTATTCTAACTTCAGGCATTATTTTTATTTGAAGATGAGATTTCTCAGAGATAAAGAAAGTGGAACTTCTCACATTAGCTATCACTGCAATGGAGATGATATGTGTTTAAGAGATGCCTGTGTGCTGGGGGACTCAGGTAGCCCACACATTGCCTCACAGGACATGATCCCCCATGCTAGAAGGGCACAAAAATGGAAGCCAAGGAGAAAACCACAGCTTTGTGGGTGATGGCTCACAGCACGGCCTGGTAACTGTTAACCCATGAACAAACCAGCTGACGGTGGCAATGGAGCACCTCAGCATGCTTGTTCAGGTCCATCCTTCTAGAGCTTCTCCAGTTTTGCTTCCATCAACAGAAAGCCTCCAACCACACCAGCCCACAATAGTCTCCCCAGTTTGAACCCAAGTTCTTCACTTTAACTCAGAAATGTGACATTTACCATAAAAGCTTACCTTATGAAAGCTGGCATACCTCAAATCCTGCATTTTGTTTAGGGTGTCATATCTCTGCAGGTAAACTATCAGCCTGCAAAGGGCAAGAGTTAATTCCATACGCACTTTCTATGTCTCAGAAAGTCTCCATGCTGATCTGAGTATGTGCTAGCTACAGCTCGTAATTATTGCTCAGTAAGTGAGAAACCCTTCTTTTCATTTTTGAATAGTGAGCGAAAAATTTGAGAGGAACTCCAATCTTATAAATAATTTTGATTAGTATTATCCTTAAAAGAAAAACCTAAAACACATCTTGGATGACAAAATATGGCATAAGGCACCTGGCTTCTCTGATTGCTGTTCTTCTGGGAAATATTTGGCAATCTTTACTTCCTTGAAGAATTTGACCTCAGTTTAAAAACCAAAGGCGTTAAGGATGGGGGTGGAAGCCTCCATGGAACCCTTCCACTGGCGTAGTTTTGGAGGAGGAACAGCTCTGCCAGGTAGAAATGCAGGATTCAGGACAAGACCAAGGTCTTTTAATGATTGGCTTAAAACCAACACATGGAAAACCAACACAACCCCCAAGCCGCGGCCACATCTCCTTGCTCACAACACCTCTTCCCGACCTAAGCCATGGCCACATCTCCTTGCTCACAACACCTCTTCCCGACCTAAGCCATGGCCACATCTCCTTGCTCACCACACCTCTTCGTGACCTAAGCCACGGCCACATCTCCTTGCTCACAACACGTCTTCCCGGCCTAAGCCACGGCCACATCTCCTTGCTCACAACACCTTTTTGTGACCTAAGCCGCGGCCACATCTCCTTGCTCACAACACGTCTTCTCGACCTAAGCCGCGGCCACATCTCCTTGCTCACACCTCTTCCCAACCTAAGCCGCGGCCACATCTCCTTGCTCACCACACCTCTTCCCGACCTAAGCTGTGGCCACATCTCCTTGCTCACAACACCTCTTCCCGACCTAAGCCGCGGCCACATCTCCTTGCTCACAACACCTCTTCGTGACCTAAGCCGCGGCCACATCTCCTTGCTCACCACACCTCTTCCTGACCTAAGCTGTGGCCACATCTCCTTGCTTACAACACCTCTTCGTGACCTAAGCCATGGCCACATCTCCTTGCTCACAACACGTCTTCCCGACCTAAGCCGCGGCCACATCTCCTTGCTCACAACACCTCTTCCCAACGTTTTATCCTGCGTCTCTTGCCATCTGCCATCGTTAACACTTACTGAGCTCTGAGTGGAGAAGACAGCTGCACATTTGCACGTGGTGACTGAGTACCTGGGATGGGTCTGAGAATTGTCCATAGCTTTTTCTGACTGACCAGCAATCTCAAGGCTCGACTTCCTCAAATGGGAAAAGGGGGTGAAAGTAGTGCTCCTCTTGTAGCTTGTTGAGATCATTAAATGGGATGATGTGGGTGAAATGATTAGTATAGTGCCTGGCACATAGCAGGTGCCCAGCAAACATTAGTATTTTCATCAGTTGAAAATGAAAAGAAGGGTGTTTCTCTCTTACCGAGTATATATGTTGTGGCATTGGATTGCAGCCTGAAAGGGGGTATGTCAAGCATGGCTCAGCTAATTATAAAGTAGAGGGGAGCCAACTCCACTCAGGGAAGCGGACAGTTCCAGGAGGATGAGAAGGAAGGTGGAGACCAGAGTTTCAGTCCTGGGACCACCAGTTCCTGGGGTGAGGAGTGAGGAAGGAGAACGCTGGTTCCTCTTTTCCTCACTCTCAATGTGAAGGAGCAGATCTGATGACTGGTTCCCAAATGTCTGCTTTGCAACATGAAGCCTGTACGATGCGCCATGGAAAAAGAGCCTCGTGGTCAGACAGACTTGGGAAACGCTGAACCTTTTCTCTTCCTCTTGGAGAATCCCAATGTCTTTAAATGTCCTGACACAGAGAAACCTGTGTAATTTGGTGAAGCTCAGAATTTTTCAAAATTCTTTGCCCATGGAAGCCCTGACCTCTCTGCCTATTGTGTATGGTATTCTTTGACATTTACGGAGTCTAATGTCTCGTGATGCTTTCTTTCAAAATGGTTGGCCCGGAGGGTCTGTAAATTCCCTTTAAGAAGCCTATTTTTGGGCATAATTCAAGGTTAACGACTCCTGCTTATCTCCCTCATAATTCTTTCTCTGATTTTCTCATTCGCTGAGATCCTTCCCAGTGCTTATGTCTTCTCCATAACTTCAGGGTGAGCTGAATTTCTGTTTTATTTTTATTTACATTTTTTTGCAGTTCTTACGGTGTTGATAAGAAAGTTCCTAGAAAGTTAAGTTATACCATCCTTCAATCTCTTGTTTAGATTTTGCAAAAGTATATGTAATATCAGGGCTTCTAAAGCTAACTTCATGTAAAAAATAAAATTATAAAGCTATTCTGAAACATAAATGGAATTATGAATATTCTATGAAGGAGATGAAATTGGGACCACAAAATTAGCATCAGCAAACAGCCTGTGAGTTGAAAATCCACTTGTGTGGCCTGACACATGGCAATTGAGAGCAACAGTGGGTAATGAGAATATACTTTTTTGTTCTTAGAAGTCAGAATTTTGAGGGGAAAGGAGCAATGGCTCTAGTTATTAATAGCTTCCTTTATTGATAAAGGAAAGAATAATGGAGGTTATTAAAATTTCCTTTAGGTAGAAGCCCAGTTTTTAGTGTAAAGATTTAACTAGTAAACCTAGTGTAATGATCTTTAAAAACTCATAGACCACCACAGCCTATTGAAGATTAAAATTATTCTAATATTTACGAAATGCCAAGAGGGGAAGTGGCCAAGGTCATGAGCAGCCGGCTGCAGAGTCCAGTCCCAGCACACGAGCTGGGTGCCAGCCTGTTGAACCAAACACAGGGAGTGCTCCAGCCCCCGCATCTGCTGGAGCTGAGGGGTGACCAACCAGGGACCTGATTTTTTTTCTTAGTCAGTTGTAAAACTTAGAAGTATAAACTCTGCTGTTATTTTTGTGATAGAAAACTCTAGCCAGTGAGCAAAGTCCTGTCTTTCTTGTGTGACCGAGTATCTTGCAGTTTGCCTGGATCACGATTCTGGAAGCAAATTTCATTTTGTCTGTGAGTTTGCCCAAATTGAGTACGTGTAGGGTGGGCTGGCCGATGGGGACACAGTCCTCCCTTGGCCACTAAGGAGATGAACGAGAGAAACCCTGAAGCCTCAGTTTGCCTGAATGGAAGGTGTAGAGAATACCAGCTCTGGGGCTCCGTCCACACGGTGGACACACACAGCTCGCGGCTCGAGGTTTGGCAGACACACTTGGTAAATGCTAACGATCATGATGACGATGAACTCGGATATGAAGAAAAACAAAAATGCAATAGGCACTTTGCCGAGAAGCACCTTACCTCTTTCTAATAAAAACGGAGGCCCCCCAGATTATATTTAATTGAAATACTTGCTTATTTCGACTCTACATTCTCTATGAGGAGAAATCAGGGGTATCCCAGCCCTACTAAAGATGAATGAAAACGAACATTGTAGGTGAGCCAAGAAACGTGAACCAAGGAGCATCTGGTAAAGAATGTTCTGTGGAACCCTCAACATGCTGTGAGTTCTGCCTTGCCCTGCTCACAAGTCTTACTATGACCTGCGGGTCTGTGGAAGGCAGACGGAGCTTGCTGGTATGGGCTGGACTGTGCCTCTCCCAGAGTCTGTGTCAGAGTCCTGCTCTCCTCAGAATGTTGCCTTATTGGGAAATAGGATGATTTCAGGTCTAATCAAGTTAAAGTGAGGTCGTGAGGGTGGGCCCTACTTCAGCAGGACCGGTGTCCTTATAAAAACATGAAACTTGAACGCAGAGACAGATGCGCATGCAGAGAGAACACCGCAGGAAGACGAAGACAGCTGGTCACGAGGACCGTGTCCCCAGCGGCCAAGGCCACCCCACACATGCTAAGTCCGGCCTCAATGGGAGCCTCACAGACAAAATGAATTTGCTTCCAGAATCATGACACAGGCAAATGGCAAGAGGCTCAGTCACCCAAGAAAGACAGGGCCTGGGAAAGCTTTTCCCAGTCCTCCCTCAGGGCCCCAGAA